CAGTTACTTTCAACAGCCACCACCACCACCACCTCTGTCTGATCATTAGGGTCCCTCATTTTACTAATTTTAGTTTCCATTTTCTGTAATTTATTTTTTCTTTTGTTTTAGTTTCTGTTATGTTTTTTATTTGTGTTATGTTGTGTTTCCCTCCTTTTTGTGATGTCAAAAGGGAAAGTAGTTTGATATATCTTGTATTCTGAATTCTAGAACTCAGTGAACTGCTTTTTTGTCATGCTATTTTTACTAGATTGCCATAACAACTTTGAATTCTTTATTTGTGTTTGCCATCATCAAAAAGGGGGAGATTGTTACGAATCTGAGATCATGGATTAGACTTTTGATGATAGCAAACATTCATGTTTTTCTATGACAGCCTTGCCTACTAATTTTCAGGACCACAAGACTGAATGCAACTCAAGCCAGCTCAAGATTGGGTAGATTTAGGTTGAGTCAAGTCTGTATTTTTTTCTTTCTTGAGTCAATTGTAAAAGTGGTTACTAATGCTAAGTAACCTTGCACACACACACTCTTGAGGGATTTTTTGAGTTTTTCTATTTTGAGTACATCGGCCTAGACAATGTTCATATCAGCTAGGACCATCCAACTAAAAACAAAAACCCTAATTAGGGCATCCTGGTTAAGCAGCCGTCATTAAGCAAATTGTCCTGAAAGATAGGCTCAAATAAAAAAGAATCAGCCGCCGTGATCATTTTAGGTATTCTTTTTAAAAATTATTGGCCAGGACGATCTATAAATCTGCTTGGACGATACAGCATAATTAAGCCTAAATTAATCTGGCAATTATGAAAAGCAATTAAGGCTGGTAGATACGATCACATCGGCCTGGCCAATCATAGAATTGGCCGGGACGATGTCCAATTGGCCGGGATGATGTCCTGGATGATTGACATGGGCCAGCATCTATTCTAGGTGATGTTCAGGATGATTGTACTCAAATTTTAAATAATCGACTAGGACGATATTGTATTGGCCTGGACGATGTAACCAATTTTCTTTTAATCATCACAAATCGTCCCGGCTGATTGAGCTTATTTTGTACTGATCGGCCAGGACGATATTCCTATTGTCCTAGATGATAAAGTCGGTTCTTAAAATTCTATTTAAAGGACTTGAATTTTCTCATTCAAAAGACCTTCAGTGCTTCTGTCTTGACCTGAGAGAGCCATGGGAGAGGGACAAAGAGAGAGAGAGAGAGAGAGAGAGAGAGAGAGAGAGAGAGGAACTTATGAGGGGGAGTTCGTGAGAGGGTTCACAAAGGTTGCTCAAAGCAAGCCAAGTCGTCATCTCCGTTCTTCGTCCTTCATCATTGGGAGGTTCTTGGGAGGTCTACTTCAGCAAAAGGTCCGGGTTCTCTGCCTGCTTCAAGAGGAAGCAAAAGGAGTCGGTTCTCTGCCGTACCGGGGTTGGTGAAAAGGAGTCTGTTGTAAAGGCTTCTCCGCCTAGTTGTGGAAGCTAAAGAAGAGACACTTAGTTAGTGTAATACTCGGAGGGTGCCTCCGAGGAGTGGACGTAGGTCAAGGATTGACCGAACCACTATAAATCCGGTGTGATTTTTCTTTATTTTTCTTTTGCGTTTATTTATTTTTGCACTCTGATTTCTGTGGTGGTTTTTGTTTTAATTTTGTGCTTTGTGCTAAAGAAATGTTTTTTAAAATACCAATTCACCCCTCCCTCTTGGTTAGCCTTGGGCTAGTTCTTAAGGGCATAACATCCCTAACAAACTTTCACATACTTGATGGAGGCCTGATGAAGATTTAAAAAACCCCTCTAGAGAGCCATTCTGGAAGAAATAGAGAAGTGCACATCTTATATACAACCTTTTACCCATTGATAAATAAAATCAGGGAACATTTTTTGCTTTATCCTATTCAACAAAAAAAACACGAGAGACTAAATTAAAGGCCTTCATAATGTCAAGCTTGGCACATAAAAGATTATGTGGAGATTTAAATTATCTCAGAACTTCAGAAGCTAGAATAATGCTATCAGTTGAGCTTCTTTTTTGAATGAAACCACCTTAGTTTTTATGGATAATGAAAGTTAAGATCGATTTAAGCATGTTAGCAAGTAGTTTATTCACAAAAATATAAACCACATTGCATAGATCTAAAATAAGAAATATTGGAAACTTGAGAACCCTTTGTGATTAATGTAAAATCTATGGCTTTTACCCCTTTACGTAAGTGACTGGTGATATAAAAAATTTTAACAACATTACACACTTGAATCCCAAAGAGGTGCCTAGAGAGTTTGTAGAACTCAAAAGTAAATCCATCTAGTCTAGGAGTAGAGTCACATTGACCTTCAAAAATTATTGCTTTGATCTCTTCATTAGAGAAGGGAGCCACTAAAGAATTAAGTAAGTCAGAAGAGACTAACTCACTAGCGAGAATGCAATAATTATGCTCATTAACAAGCTTAGGAGAGTTATATTGATCTTGAAAATGTTGAATAAATCCGCAACAATATCATGATGATTAAAATTTACCAAGAGGGGTGGTAATTTGCTTCATGACATTTCTGTTTTTTCTAGCTCTAATTTTAGCATATAGGAAGCCAAGATCATCTTCTCCATTTGTTAAACACTTTGCTTTAGCTCTTTGAGAGATCCAGATAGACCAAGAGGATTGCATGATAGTCAGCTTATCACTAATTAATTTCAGAGAAGCATTTAAATTTTGATTCAAAGGAAGATTTTGAAGCTCATAGAGGAATTGATGTTGTCTCTTTTTAACTCAAGAATAGTGCTAGAAAGGAAGTTAGAGGAATTCCAATTCCTCTCCTTAAGGGATCTATTCAAATTATGTAAGAAGTGATAGAATGAGGCAGTCGAATTGCAGGAAGTAGGCCTAACAAATGCGTTAATCACATCCTCCTAGAAACCATCCATATGAACCCATAAATTTTTAAATAAGAATCTAGATGGTTTCTTTTTCAATAGGAGAAGCAAACATGATCAATGGGGAATGATCAAAATATAAAGGTGGAAGCACTTTATAATAAGTAGACGAAAAATTATCAAGCGAAGAAGAATTCACCAACATTCTGTTTAATTTAATGTGAATGGGAAGCTCTACCCTTTGATTAAACTGAGTATAAAAGAGGCCAACATAAGCTAGTTCAAGAACACCACAATCATAAATAACCTTGTTAAGTTCCCCTAACATGCCAGGCTGCAAAGGGTTACCACCAGCTTTCTCAGATTCGATCCTATAGTAGTAAAAATCACCCATAATAATCCAGGGATGAGAGGAATCAGGCCCTAAATCCCTCAAATGGTCCCATGGAAATTTTCTATCCTCTACATTGCATAAATGATTTTTTTGGGGGTGGGGGAGCCTGAAGAAAGAATGTCATGAATGACTTTTATAAAGGAGGGAGAGAGAGAGAAGTGGAAAGAGTGCCATTTCAGCCAGATCCTACCGAGAGTAGAACAATTGAAATTATTGCAGTTACTCTCATTCTTGAAAGAGATTTAATAAACCAAGGGTTAGATTAAACAGAAAGATGAACCTTTGCTTCTAAGCTACCAAGCATCTTCATATTTTAAGAACTCACAGGCTCCTTACAAGCCCTCTCCTTGTCAGGGCTATTGAACCCCTAACGTTCCAACAAGCTAAAGAAGGCATATTTATTAGGATTTGGAAGATTTGGCCTTCTTAGCTGATTTAACTCTGGTGTGTTTTATAGGAGATGAGGATTGAACATTGGATAAGACCAGATTAGAGGAAGGAATATTCACCTGAGGGCAAGTATCAAGGAAGTTGACTTTGGTTGGGATCTCCTCAGAAGACTTGGGATGAAAGGTCTCCCATTAATAGAGAAGCAAACTTGTTGGATATTGGCACTATAGGAGAAAAAAGAATTGGTAACTGAGAATATTTGTTGGTGGATGAAGTTTCCTCTATTGGAAAATTTAGGATTGGGATAATAGGGTCCTTATCCAGGAAAGAGTTTAGTGGAGGTGAAGGATTATATGTTTCACCTGATGATGCAATAGTAGGCAAGGTTGTGGGAAGAGAATTAGTGATGACACTAATTAGAATATGGGGAAAGGGAGGTTGGGAAGAGGAGTTTGGGTTTGAAAACTACAGATTCTGGCTAGTGCTCCTACCTCTGGTCCTCAAAGGAGGGGGCACAACAAGTTTAGGATTAGGATTGGATGAGCATAACGAATAGGGGTAAACTAGAGATCTACACCCTTCACATCAAGATGGTTTCCAATGGTAAATCACTTTGAGAAGGATATCTTCACCATCAAGATGCAAAGGAATTTCATCCGGACGAGCGAACTCTTAAGATATTTGAACACACACCCTCGCGAATGTTAATTGCGATCTCGTGGTAGTGAGGGAGTCTATAGACATGGGGATGTCAATGAAACTAGAGATATTGGAGATGCCCATCAGGGTCCATAAGGCCAGAGGTAAATCTATAATTTTTATCCAAAGGGGGATGGTAGAAGATTCATCCCACTTATGTTTGAACTCAGGCGACCATTTTTTAACTATGAAAGATTTTCCCAACAAGAAGTACGACCCACCCAATCAGACCATGTCAATATCTTCAGGGGAAGTGAATTTTAGCAAGAAGAACCCATTCATTAGTGAGAGTAAAGAGAACGAACCTTTCAAGGTCCAATACATCTTCATGGCAGCCAGGACTCTCTCGTAATAAGGCCAATAAGGATAAAGACCAGAGATAAGAGCCCTGCGATAGATCTTCAGCCGAAAAAGCTACCTTTTGCCTCAGAGGGACAAAGGAAATCGGAAATCTTCATGGTTAGGAATAAGCGAGAAGGGATTGTTTGCCCAAGACGCAATGGGGTGAACCAGGTGTGAGCCCAAAATAGAAGAGCTAGGGAGAGGAGGGAAGTCATTTGAATTAAGGGTTGATGGAGAACTTCTCCCGAACAGGAAGAGTCAGCGTTGCCGTGAGAGATCAGAAAACCCTAGAAACTGCAAACGAAAAATCCAGAATCTAACTTCTACATCAAATTAAGTTTGCAATTCTTATCAATTACATGAAATTAATAATAAAAGTATGTTGATTTGAGGACTGGAACAGCATTTCTCAACCAATTTAAAATCAATTGTTTCTAACAATATTTGCAATTTACTCATGAGGCACAACAAACACGCGGCTGGAAACCAAACACCTTTTTTTTCCCGCTAAACTCCAACAATCTCCTCCTCCGTTGCACCAGGTCTTGACTTGTCATCCACAGTTCTCCCACGCCTTCCCCTCAACTGAGCCACCCAATCCACCTCTCCTATCCATAGCACCAAAACAATCACCAATCCACACACAAACCCCGCCGCCGCATTCAACTTCATCGACACCGCCGCACATACCAGCATAATAAAGGAGTCCTTTTTGCTTCCCATATCCCTCGACGCCATTGCCAACTCGACCCCAGAAAACACCAACAACACCCCCAGTAACCCCACCGGAAATTGTTTCAATATCATCACAAACGAGTTACCAAACACCAATCCCAGAACCATCTTCCCTGCCGCGAGAAACATAACCGACAACCCGCTTCGGCCGCCGAACCGGTACTGCCCGGCCAGCCCACCGGCCCCGTGACAAACCGGCATCGCACCAAACCAGCATCCGACCCAATTCATCAGCCCCACGCTGACCGAAACCGCCGCCGCCGAAACCTCTTGGTCGGGAAACAGGTCCCCAGAAAGTTTGCAGACGGCAATCACCGAATTCAGGATGGAAAGCGGGATTTGCGGGATTGCTCCACGAAAGAATCCGACTTTCCAGTCTTCCCGCGTGATGGTAATGACGCGAAGGGGGGCAGGGCCGAACTTAAGGTGTCGGAGAACAGACGCGTCGCGGATGAAACAGAGGATGAAGCCGACGAGGAAGACGATGAGCGCAGAGGGGACAAGGCGTCGCCTTTCGTTTTCTGTGCCGGAAGAGAGGAGGATGAAGAGGAGGGCGGAGAGCGCGAGGAGGAGACCGTCGGGGCCGAGTAAGGGGCGCGGGCCGGAGGTTTTTCCAGATGGGAGGTCTTGGCTGTACCTGATGTAGGAGACGGCGGAGAAAGCAAAGGATAGGCCTTGGGAGAGCTGGACGCCGCGGACAACGGGGAGAGGGAGGAGACGGTAGAAGAGGGACATGAGACCGGTGGCTCCGAGGATTAGGAGGGTGGAGGCGGTACAGAGACCGGCGGCCATGATTTGGGGAATGGAGAGGTGGGAAGAAGGCGAGATGGCGACGGCGGCGATGGATTTCATTGGTTGAACGGGCATGGGGATGCCAAAGAGGAGGCCAGTAATGGCGTTGTATAGAGCCGTGAAGATGAGGGTGGTGCCGAGGTCGAGGCCGTTGACGAGAGAGAGGGCAAGGACGATGGGGATGTAAGTTCCAAGGTCACCGACAGCGCCGCTGAGTTCGGACCAGAGGGTTGTTTTGAGGCGGAAGCTGGAGGAGAGCGAAGGGAAACGGGGGCAGAGGGGACGACGGAGCTGGGTGGAGTCGTCCAGGAGGGAGGAGTCGCCGGGGGCGGCCGGATCCATGGATGCGGTGTGGTGATGCAGAATGGGGCGGGGCTTGAGATTTTTTGGTTTCAGTGATTTGTTGGATCAATTAGATGTAGTGGCCTTGAGTGGCGGACAGTGACATTATTAATTAGCGTGACAAGAGATCCGACCTTATCGGTAACATACAACTTTGACGGCACGGCTTATGGCCTCGTTTGATTACATTTTTTTTTTGTGCACATTCAATTTAAAACAGCAAAATAAAATTTTTTTATATGTTTGAAAGAACTACTTCCATCAAATCACGTTAATAATAAGGATAAGTTTTAAAATGAATTCGTTTAATAATATTTTAGGTAAAATTAAAATGAAAAAATATATATAAATGATACAAGTTATTTAGACTTCGTTTGGGATGACTTCTTATTGCTTCTTAAAATAATTTTTTAGTACAAAAAATTTTAATTTTTTAACTAAAAAGCTGATTTAAAAAGAAATAAGAAAGCCGTCTCAAACGAAGTCTTAGATGATGTTGCAACTAGCTATGCGATTGAATGACGTGGAAGGGTTGAGGGGGTCGAGTGGGTAGAGTCGCGGGTTTGTTAAAATGAACTTAACATATATGAAGGTTTTCTTTTTGATTCGACCTTACTGTAGCAAATCAGTACAATGGTATACATACATAAGAGTCACTCAAGATGATAATAATCAAGCCGTTAATATGGAATCTTGCTGGACGACTGAGATGGAGTTGGTACTTTTCTGCACTTGAGTGTTTCGGCACTGCTGTCAGTGAGCAGATGTAATGCTTTGTGTTGTGATAGTGATATGTACTCAACAGTGGAGCAGTTGGAGCTGTGACCGTTATCAGCCTCCCTCAAATTAATGATCCGTAAGCGGAGTGTTAATTTGTCTCTAAGATAAAGAAATTGTTTGATCGGTAAGCCTTTTATAAATATGTCAGCTGGTTGATCAGTTGTTGCAATATGATGAACAATAATGGCATTCGACTTAATGCATTCCCGAATATAGTGATGATCTATTTCAATGTGCTTGATTCTAGCATGGAAGACATGGTTGTTTTCTAGAGATATATCTGAAATATTATCACAATAAAGTGGTGTGGGTTGCTGTAGGGAACAGTGAAAATCAGCCAGCAAGCGACGAAGCCAAATAATCTCTGTGGCGACGGAGGTAAGAGCTATGTATTCGGATTCTATAGATGATCTCACTACAGTGGCTTGCTTTTTGGTCGCCCCAACTTATGAGTGCCGAACCAAGGAAGATACAAAATCCTGTTGTGGATTTTCGGTCATGCTTATCTCCTGCCCAGTCAGCATCAACATATGCTGTAAGATCTATTTTTCCTGGTATAATAGGCAAGGCAAGATGAAGAGTTCCTTGCAGATACCGTAGAATGCGTTTGATCATTTGAAAATGTTCATTTAAAGGATGATGCATGTGCTGACATACTAAATTTACCGCATAAGACAAATTGTAATGATCCAGCTATACTCCGATACAGGTGAGGATCGGAGAAAGGTCTTTGAGAGTGAGGAGATTGATCTGGTTTGCTTGCTACAGGTGTTTGTATAGGTTTGCAAGAATTCATGCCAGCTTTATGAAGAACTGCTTTAGCATAATTGTATTGATGTAGCAAAAGACTAGAATCTGTTTTGTGAACTTGCAACCCAAGGAAAGTATGTAACTGGCCCAAGTTTTTAAGCTGAAATTGCTTCTTTAAATCTTGAAGCAGTTGTGAGATTTGATGTGAAGAATTTCCCATAAGCAATATATCATCTACATAGATGAGTAAATAAATGGAGAATGTAACAGATGTGTAAACCATTAATAATGGATCTGCATCACTAAATTTAAAACCCCATTTGAGTAAATAATCTGTAAGTTTGGAAAACCATTGATGAGGATCCTATTTGAGACCATAAATAGCTTTATTCAATTTGCAGACAAATGTAGGATTAGAGGGATCTTTAAAGCCCAAAGGTTGTTCCATACCTTCTCACTAAGTTTTCCATGTAGGAATGCATTGGACACATCAAGCTGGTTGATTTTCCAATTCTTATGAAGTGCAATCATGAGGAAGACACGAATTGTTTGAAACTTTGCAACTCGACTGAAAGTTTCTGTAAAATTGAAACCATATTCCTGTTTATAACCTTGTGCGACAAGACAAGCCTTGTATCATACCACAATGCCATCTTTAGAGAATTTGGTACGAAAGAGCCATTTACAGCCGAGTATATTCATATGAGGCTGAGGAGGAATTAGTGTCCATATACCTTGTGTTTTTAATGCTTGAAACTCTTTTGACATGGCATTTCTCCAGTGAAGTTGTTTAACATCAGCTGTATAGCATGTGGGATCAAGTGGTGATGTTGTGAGATGGAGAAGATTGAATATAGACCGAGGTTTAAGATGACCTGTCTAAAGACGAGTAATCATAGGATGGGTTCGAACGATTGGAGGAGGTGATGAAGCCATGGATAAAAGAGTGGAAGTAGTGGTTGGATGGATCAGAGGAGCAGCTTGCGATGAATTAGGTGTAGTAGAGAAGAATATGTGAGGTGAGTTCTTTGAAGATGTTTGTAGATTTTGTGGTTGAGATGAGATAGAGGAGTACGTGGTGGGAACAAGAGTGAGTGGTGGTGGATGAGTTGTTGTGGTAAGTGGAGTTGATGTAGTAGATGGAGTAGAAGATTGCTGATAGGGAAATATATTTTCCTGAAAGTTGGCATGTATGGACGTGCAGACTTGGTTAGTGGAATATTATAATAGAGATATCCTTTGGATGATTGAGAATAGCCGAGAAAGATGGATTTCATGGATTTTGGAGCCAGTTTGTGGTGTTTGTGTGTAGGTAGAAGTGGGTAGCATTGACAACCAAATACCTTTAAGAATTGATAATTTGGTTGCTGATGAAATAAAATTTCATACGGTGAGATATTAGAAAGAGTGTGAGATGGAAGTCAATTTATTAAATAAACAGTAGTTAGCGTTGCATAAACCCAAAACTGATAGGGTAGGTTTGCTTCCAGAAGTAGGGTTCTAGTCGTTTCTATAATATGTCTATGTTTTCTTTCAGCTAAACCATTTTGCTGGGGTGTATAAGGATAACTGAGCTGATGTTGTATGCCATGGTGAATTAGAAACTTGAAAGTTGTATTAAGAAATTCAGAAACATTGTCGGTTCGAAAAAACAATTATTTTCTCACGAAATTGATTTTCTACAAGTTGTTTAAAATGTTTAAAATGATGAAACGTCTCAGATTTTTGAATCATCGGATAGAGCCAAGTGTAGTGTGAGAAGTCATCCACAAAGATAACATAATATTTAAATCCATTAAAGGAAGATACAGGAGACGGACCCCAAACATCCGCATAAACAATTTGGAGAGGTTTGGAAGTAGAAGACCTAGATAAAGTAAAGCTAGTTCTATGACTCTTTGACTGCAAACAGGAATTACAAACATACTTAGTAGATGACAATAGAGAAGCTAACTTAGGATTTCTAGCTCCAATGAGTGTTGTAACAACAGCATGTGGGTGTCCAAGCCATTGGTGCCAGATTGAGGGAGTTGAGGAGGATATGAATGCTGATGTGGATGGATGATTGTTGGCAGTAGTCGAGATCGGATAGAGGCCACTACGGCTGGGACCTTGGAGGAGAGTGCAATTGGTCTTCAAATCTTTGATATGGATGCCGAAATAATGGAGTATAAAGCGGCTGTGATATTTTGATCAATCAACACCCATTGATTATAAGCTTGATTTGGTACATGGGTGTTGTCCGAACTTGAGATGTACTTATTGGGTGTTGTCGTAGTGCCATCCAGAAAATCAGAGAAGCCATTAGCTTGAAATACTTTTGTGACTTGAGCACGCCAGGTGGGATGATTTTCAGCTGTTAATGGGTTTTGAACAATATTTTTGATATTGTTCATTAGGAACTTAAGGGAAGTAGGAATCTGCACATCTGCAATGGTGTTGTAGCTGAAGTTGGCGGCAGAAGATGCTGTGGATGAGTTGGCTGAAGACGTCATTTCTCAACAGAAAATAAAGACCGATAAATTGTTTTAATTTAGCTTGGTAGCAGTGGCTCTGATACCATGTTAAAATGAGCTTAACATATATGAAGAAGGTTTTCCTTTTGATTCGACCTTACTGTAGCAAATAAGTATAATGGTATATATACGTAAGTGTCACTCAAGATGATAATAATCAAGCTGTTAATATGGAATCTTGTAGGACGGCTGAGATGGAGTTGGTACTTTTCTGCACTTGAGTGTTTCGGCTACTGCTGTCAATGAGCAGAGGTAATGCTTTGTGTTTTGATAGTGATATGTACTCAACAGTGGAGCAGTTGGAGTTGTGACCGTTATCAGGGTTAAGGTTGCGCTGGCACGAGCTAGCGAGTCAAGAGGTCGAGCAGGTCGCAGGTCAAATGGCGAGTCGTACAAGGGCCGAAGGAATGGCTATGGGCAGGTCGGGTAGTGGTCGTAGTTGACTAGCCGTGGAAGGCTGGCATGTTAGGTCACAGGTTGAGCAGTGAGTCATATAAGGCGTGAACTTGGCCAGTTTTTTGCGGGTTTAATGACTAAGTTAGTTGTTTAGGGTCAAGCCAACTTAAAGGTGGGGCTAGCCGGTTCATAGATAGCGGGTCCCACAAGCTGGTTAACTTGCTTTTTCTAATCTTTAACGTTCCAATCACTCCAAAATCTCTTCTTATCACTCAAGACTCTCTTGCATAACACTAGCGATTTTCAGGCTTCCCTACTCATTAACTAGGTGCTTCGATGATCAGAAATTCAAACATTTTACACAGCTAGTTATTTCTCTTGTCTACATTTATTTTTTTGTTGTAATATGTTTGATCTGTGGAGATTTAGTCTATTAGATCGCATTGCCTGAGCTGAAGTTCCTTTTTTTAATTTTTAAAATTGTTGGAAAATGTAGGAAATGTTAGAGCTTTTGTTTTCTTTAGAGCGATTTCACATTGCCTGAAAGTAAGTTCCATTATGTATGACTATGTTTATTTTGAAAATACTAGATCTATTGATTTTTTTTAAGTAACAACACATTGCCTGAAACAACTT